AATGATAAATATAGAATACATATATAAAAAAAATGTCATCACTTCTAGGAGTAGTAGTTCAATGATTTAACCTCAGACAGTAACTATTATGTAACAATTAACTTAGACACTGCAGAATGTTAAAACTTCTGTTTAAGAGGAACCCAAACTCTTTTTTTTTTTTTAAATTCAAAAAAGTACAAATTTTTAAAGCTACAAAACATTAAGTCAATAAAACCTTAACATATAATAATGTTATATGAAGGACTGCTACAAAATTAACAGAATTATACAGAACAGGGGTGTTTGTGGGACCCCAAAAAATTCCCTGAAACTTTTATGGACTTACTACCGACATTTTGGAGTTTCGAGAAGGGGGGGGGAGAATGAAAAATTACAATTATGAAGTATTGAATGACCTAATTATAAAAGTTCAATGAATTACTTTTTTTTGCAAAATTAATAACCATAAATTTTTCAAACATATAAACTACTACATTTTATGTAAATATTTTAAATAACCTGAATTAATTCTTTTAAAAAAAATCATCTAATTTCTGCTGCTTTTTTTTTTATTTTCTGATGTTTGTGGGCTTGTCTTTCTTTTGTGGTGAACTTCATAATTGCAGGAAGGTTGACTTTTATTTTCCTCATTTACAGTTGAAGAAATTTTCCTCGAGAACTGCACATGCAGAGGTAGAAGCAGTTTTGCTTTTCTGCTAATGTAGAAGGTTTTTCACAGACTTTTATAGGTGACTCATCTGAAATACATGTTTTTAAGTCCTCTTGATATGTTTTCCAACTTCTGTTTATATTCAGTAAGAGATCTTTGTGAATTGGATCAGTCATTGGATTTTTTGAGCCATATTTTTCACATGAGGTTTCTTTAGAAGCCATTAAATCATACTTAATAGTCTGCACTGCATCTAGGGAATCAATTTTAAGAGAGGTTCTATAGTCAATGACAAGTATATCCATTAAGTTGAATGCACTTTCCACTAATGGGCCATGGAAGCAGCTAAGGCAGGCTTTGACCAATTTAGCCAATGTAGGATACTTATAATCATCATCATGAATACTTATAATCATCTTGTGAAATCATCTTTTAAATTAAAAACTTTAGACCAATATTTATCAATTGTACACTTGACTTGATTTCCACTTTCATCAGATGTGTAGAGCATTTCTTTGGTGATATCAATATCACTCTGATATAACCTTATTTCAGCTTCTACTTTTGACTTTTCATTATCACTAAAAATATGGGACATAAAAGATGATAATTTTTCAAAAGCTAATATTGTACTGGTTTTACCTTTTAGCTCTGGATCTAATGCTGTAAAACTAATTAGATATGAATTTTTAAGGGGTAATTTCTGTTTCATATGCTATGCTGTAGTATAAGCTTTCATCAGAGAAACTTGGAATTCTTTTGCTATTGGATGATTTTTTGATAATTTCTTCAGGAGAGTGGAAGCTTCTGCACCAGCAAATATTACTTTGCTAGGTAGATGGAATTCTGGATTTGTGACATCAACCTTTAATAAATCATTATAAGATGTGCACTCTATGTTTTCTGGCTTCATAAAAAAAGAGAAAAATTTTGCCATCAATTTATAAATACTGGAATGTATTAAATGAAGCATTGGTTTTTTTGTTTCAAATAATTTAATATATGTGTTGAACTCTGGTAATACTGCTGAATATAATGCCATATACAATAAAGTTTTGTTTTGCACAACAAATAACCCATTTAGTATTCTTTTTTTCCGAACTAAAGCATCCTTTGTGAGTTGTTGGGAATGCAAGCAAGAATACACCCCTTCAACAATTTTTTTCTGAGCTGCAGAAATATTTCCTTTATTGTATACAGTTTCAACATAAAAATAATCCCCTTTATCAGTTTTATCCAAGTAGTGAAAATAAAATGCAATAAGAGCATCCCACAGATCTTTAATTCTTTCTAAAACACATAAAATGTACACCCACCTATGGTCTGGTCTCTTCAAGGGCTTAAGTTTTTTAATGGCAAGGGATTCACAGATTTTGAAAAAATTTTCTCTTTTACTGCAGCTTTTCATATCAAAATAGATGTCATCAAACAAATCTTCTAAGTATCTATCAAAACATGAAGCAAATTTTTTTGCGCAGTTATTAGCTGTGTGACATGTGTCACCATCAATATCTAATAAGTGGGGTGCTTGTTTGATCGTAGTCTGGTTTTCAACACCCTTTTATTTTCCACGCATGGTGTTACATGAGTCCATTAATACATTAATTAAGTTTGCCCATGGAATATTATTATCTTCAATAGTATTAACAACTGCTTTAAAAAAAGCTTCTGAACTGCAAGATTCCATCTTTAGAGATGCAAAATGATGAACTACAACTTCATTTTGATTGTTGTCATAAAACTGCACCAATATTGCCAGTATACATTCTTGAGCATTGCTAGTACTTTCATCCAAATTTAGAGAAAATGGAGTCTCCTTTAAAGTTTTAATGATATTTTCCTTAATAGTTTTTGTGAGCCCCTATTTCATCTTATAACATGCAGTAGTCCTGGACAACGAGTTTAGTGCCATCTGATCGCGGCTCAACTGTTTGCAGAGGTCAATTAAATTGGGAGCTACATTGAAAGAAAGAGAATTCTCGGCGATAAACGAAGTTATTAATACCTCTTGGCGTGCTTTTCTTGTCACTATATCCAATGGCCGAGCATCAGTCTCCAGTAAGTCATCAGTATTTTTTGAATTAGCATAATTACTTAAAGTCATTGAATGTCTAATGCACTTTGAATATTTTATGTGCGTCACAGTTTTAGAATGATTTGTGAAAACCTTGAATCCTTCCCCACCATACTTCAGCAGCGAGTTACAAAAAACACAGTATGCTTGTCCAGCAACATTTATTTTCTTGCACCATGTGCCGATGGTAACCCCATTACCATCTCTCCATTCAATCCAATTCTAACTAAATGCATTCCGGACACCTTCTTCTAATTGTATAATATCACTATTTATATCGAGAAATTTCATGGTGAAATTCTCTTGTGTACATAAATAAAAAAATATTTCAATAAACGAAACGAAAAATTTACACATGCATCAATAAATGAAACGAAAATTTTACACAGCGGAGAAAAAAAAAAGTTGAGAAGCGATCAATGACAAATACAGTAGAAGTCCATTAGTCCGGCATCCAACAGTCCGGAATGCCCGATAGTCCGGCATCGCTCCGGAAAATTGTAAAAATTCTGGTTTTCTCCAAAAGTGTGTCTTTAAAGCAAATAAAACCGCTCGAGAGCTATTCGGAAGTTTTCGGGGTAGTTCGAGATCATCCGGAAGCGCTCGGTATTGTTCGGAAACAATTAGCGGCCGGCTAGTCTATTATTGTTGCAAATATTGTTGCTACTCTGCTCCCACCTAACGTAACATCTTTGATTCAACCCATGGACCAAGGGGTTATTCAAAATTTTAAATGCTTTTATAGAAGGTCTTTTATTCAAGGCCTGTTAAATGCCGACTGTGACGTGACTGATTTTCAAAAAAAGTTTATAGTAAAAGATGCCGTCTATGCTATTGCACAGTCTTGGAAACAGGTAATAAATACAACACTCCAAAAATACTGGAGAAAACTTTGGCCAGCTGCAAACCCTGCATCTGATCTAACTCTACAGACTGATGAGGAAGAAAACCATCAAGATGCTCTGACCAAAGTTTTGGATGTCGTTAGAAGTACTGACAATCCCTTGAAAAACCTGCCTGAAGATGAGGTAGAGGAGTGGCTTTTAATCCACGAGAATGAGTCTGTTGAACAAGAACTAACTGATGAGGACATTATCAACATTGTAGTAAACCCTCAGCCTACTCAAAATCTTGAAGAAAATGACTCAGATGCTGAAACGGAAGAAAAGGAAAAAATCAGCTGGGCAGAAGCTGCAGAATCACTAAATAAGTTTATCTCTTTTGCCGAGGCTAGTACTAGCTACAGTGCTTCAGAAATTATTGATTTCCATATCATTAGAAATAAATTTTATACTAAATGCCAAAAGTCAAGAAAACAAAAAGACATTCGTGACTTTTTTAAATCTAAGTGAAATATGTTTTACAGTACATGTACATACATTATATGAAATGTAAAATAAACTTTGTTGTATGTATTTGCATACTGTATTTTTAGTTTAATTATTAACCTAATTGTTCTTATAATTACCGCCCGATAGACCGGAATTTTCGGTAGTCCGGCACCGAGCCGGTCCCGAACGTGCCGAATTATCGGACTTCTACTGTAGCTAATACGGCGAAAAATCCCCCTTCTGTACTTATTGGCGTCATGCCAGGAGAGATAAGACCAGAGTCACGTGATCGGACATCTGGTCGAACGAAGTCTCTCCCTTTTTTTTCTGCCGCACCTACTTGCCGAAAAGAATCCAGAAGAGAATGTCCGAGAACCGGGGGAATGAGTCATAACTCGCAATAAGGAAAGAACAAAAAAGAAGTTTTTTTCCCCTTTTTCATGCATTATCACTGCCTTTGGAGAAAGAAAGGAAAAGTTTTCACCACACACACTGACCTTGCGTTTTCTGCTTTCAAAGCAAACAAAATTACCCAGATCAAAATAAATAATTCATTATTATTCCTACTTCCTTTTGAACGACGATCCCCGGAATTTCCGGGTATCGAAGTTCAAAATCCCCGGAATTCCGGAGTTTCCCCGGAGCACAAACACCCCTGACAGAAACTGCAGCAATACTTTAAAAGACCAAATTAAAACATTTAGCCTTGAAAAACTTTAGATGAACATTCAAGGCATACATTCTCATAAAAAAAAAACAGAAACATTTGTAGTTAAAGGTACCAAAAACTACACAAAGGAAAACTGGTTAAGGATATACTAACATATAGAAAATAATACAGTTTGAGACACTGCACTTTTATAGTTAAGGGTTAGATAAAAATAGTCATTTTTATTATTAACTGAAGTAAAAATTATGACAATTTAATTTTAACATAACAAACCTGGCCAGTGGAATGAATCCATTGTCCATCTACTTGAAATTTATACTCATGATCTCCTTCAGGAACATCCAAAATTAATGCAAAATCTCCATGGCTGTCAAAGAGGGGAAAAAACGCTGTTAAAGTCATTAAATCAATCTAAGATTTCTTAACATAAATTACCACTACAAATACTTGTTAATGGGAAACATTTTTAAAACTAAGTACAGAATTAATATAATTTGAGAAATGTATTAAAATTCATAAAGGCAAAATCTTTTCTGACAGAATAGAAGCTTTACATTAAGGGTGACATTAAGGCTTTACATTACGTAATCTTTCCCTCCCGAGGTCCACATCAATAAATTCATAAAGATTCGCAGGCAACACATCTGTCAAATAAGTAACATAGGCAGAAAATTTATAAAAAAATGGCAACGTTACATAGACGGACTATTCCAAGGAATGGAAGGGCATAAAGTCTTCATGGATGATGGGTGAATAACAGGGTCTGATGATGATGCACAGTTAAATACTTCAAATATTTTCTTCAAAAAATGTAAAACTCATTGACTAAAATTAAATTTGGAGAAAAGAAAATTTTTTCAGGATAAGATACAATTTTTAGGTCATAAAATTGCTGCAAATGGTTTACATAAAACTGGATGAAAAAATATCAGAGATTGCAAAAGCCCCAAGACCTAGAAATGTCTGGGAAATTTGAAGTTTTTTGGGAACTTTTATAGGAAAACATTTTTGCCCTAAATTAGCACAATCACGAATTCTTTATTACAATTAACTAAAAAACTAAAAAATTGGTTTGGACGAGGGACTATCAGGAGGCTTTTCTAAACATTAAAAAGAGAATTGTTTTCACAAAAAGTTTTGATGCATTATGATCCAAAACTGTCCTTAACATTGGCAACCTATGCATCACCAGTGGTGTTAGGTGCGGTACTTTCTCACAAACTTCCTGATGGGATGGAAAGGCTAATTGCAATGCTTCTACAACACTTACAGAAACAGTGAAAATTCTCAGATAAAGAAGCTCTACAACCATTTGGAGAATTTAAATTTTTTTTTTTTTCTGTACTTAAAAGACAGGAAATTCATGCTAATTACAGATCATAAACCTCTTGTTTCAATTTTTGGCAGAAAAAAAGGCATACCAGTTTTGGCAGCAACAAGACTCCTGTATTATGCCTTGGCTTTACAGTCATTTTAATTCAGTATAATTTACCATAAAACAAACGAGCATGGTAATGCTGACTTTCTATCACGATTACCGATGAACTCAGAGCAACAGGGCAATTACCTAGTCAGGATGATGTAACTATTTTTCAATTACAACATATTAAAACTCTTCCAATCTTCGCTATAGATTTGGCTATAGAAACTGAAATTGATGCAGAACCTAGTCCTCTGCTACGAATACTTCAAAGTAGCGGTGCACTGAAAGGAAGGGAGATGGAAGTACGGTCTCCAAGATGGCTGTATAATGTATGGCTAATGCATATGTATTCCAATACAATACCATGAAAATGTTGTGAAAGAAATGCACCATGGACACTTAGGGACCATAAAGATGAAAGCAATTGCTAGAACTTGTGTGTTTTGGAATGGTATAAATAAAGAAATTGAAAATACTCCAAAAAACTGTTTTGAATGCGAACTTTTAACTTCTAAGGTAAAGGTAAAAAAAATTCATCATTAGGAGTACCCGAGTGCTCCAATGAAACATATTCACATCGATTATGCAGGGCCTATTTAATCGTCGATGCTCACTCAAAACGGCTAGAAGCTTATTCAATGAAATCAAGCTCAAAAAAGCTTCCAAAACAATAGAATGTTTCTGGGACTTTTTTTGCATGATTCGGATTACCAATATTGTTAGCGTATGATAATGGGCCACAGTTCACTTCACATACATTTAAGCTATTTCTACAGAGTAACAGAATCAAACATAAAACTACAGCATTATTTAAACCATTTAGTACAGGGCAAGCTCAACGGTATGTGTTTACAGTAAAGCAATCTTTAAGAACCATGCAGAATTATCCAGGAACTTTGAGACAAAAACTCAGTACATTTTTAATGTAATATAGAAAAGCTCTGAACTTTACTATACAGAGCCCGGCAGTGCTAATGCTGAAGAGGAAAATTTGAACAAAAAAAAAAAAAAAAAAACATTGAGATCAAATCCCAAAAGGAGGGAGTTCGAAGAGGAACCTACGAGTTTGCAGACCGAGGATTTAGAGCTGGCGATAAAGTGGCAGTAAGAAATTATCACCACGATGACAGACAATGGAGATTTGGAACTGTCCAATCCAAGGATGGGCAGTTTCATTACACTATAAATGTAGATGGTCAGCTATGGTGGCGACATGTCGATCAGATGCGTGATGGAGGAACCATAATTGATGATGGTGGCATACGTCCAACTTCAGCTCTTGTGATTTCCAAAGAGCCTGATAAGAGTGGAATTTCAGAACCATCCAAAAATAATACAGGTAGATCAGTCTGTGTCACCTTCCGAGCCCAAGATTTTACCGAAAGTTCCATCCACCGGACCTGCTGCTGATACAAGCAGGTTACCAAAGAAACCAGTTGTGCCACAACCTTTGCATCAGTCCACCAGAATTCGACGTCCCCCAGACAGACTGAACTTGTGAAAGGGGGAGGGATGTGGTGTATCAAGAACTTAAAACTGGCACAGTGCCAAGCGTAGAAGTTATTGTAAACCAGAACCAAGACAGAGAATGCTGGTAATATGAGTGCATATGAGAGTAATGATGTGTTTTGTATATAATAAAGTGTAATGTAATTAAATACAGTGTCTTGTGAAAAAAATTACCCACTAATGACATGGGAATCCTGGTTTAATGTTATCCAGATTAATCCTTGATAAATCAGGTTAATATCTGTAGAGAAGGATATAAGCTAACTGCTATTTCTATGTTTTCCCAATCACATTTTGAAAAAAAATTTTTTTTGAAATTTGTCTTCTATGGAACAGTATGCAGTGGATTATTTTAAAAGATCATATCATCAAAAAAAGTGTGCATTAGTCCACATGATATGGGACTTAATTGAGAACGAATAAACAATGGTGATATAATGTGAAAAACTATGACAAGCAAATATATTGATATCAAGTGCGATTTTTGCCAAACACTGTAACTTCTATTGTTTGATTATTTAACTGAATAAGGAGCAAGTTTTTTTTTTCACACATCCACCAGAATGACTGCCACAAGTTTGGTAGGATCTTCATCAGCTTTCATGATCATCAAGAAAGTTTGCAAGCTGCCAATTACTGAGAAAATAAATGAATAAATTACTGAAATGTCAGATGAATCAAAGTCCCACATACTCAGATCGTGAGCCAGTCTCTAATATCCAAACAAAATCCAAAGTTATTTTATTTTGCCAAATGAAGTTCACAGAAGCAGTAAATACACAAAAATACAAAAGTACCATTTTTAATAAATCTTTAAATTTCTTCATAAAAGATAATCCCAGGTTCAAATAGTAATAAGCTTCCATATAAATAATTAAACTTCACCTTTTATTTATTTTAATTGTATATATGATTAAGTACTCAGTCAGGCATTAATTTTTTCCTTCACAATTTAAATAAAAAGAAAATGCAATGTAAAAAAACTAACGACATTTCAGCAAGTTTTTATCTAATAATCTTCCTTAAATTTTGCACTATGTAAATAAAAATCCTCAATACTGCTATAAACCCAATAAGAATTCAGTTTAAAAATGTTAAAAAAAATTAAATAAAAAATTACCTTTCAACCATAGGTATTGGTTTCCAATCTGAGAAGGTTCCACTTATAAAGACTTCTTTACCACCACCATCCCACTTAAATACAGTTGGAAAGCGAGGTTGACTGGAAGGGGTTGCACTAACTGTTGCAGATCTAGGCCTCATATCATCTGCTTTAGTCTACAGATTATAATTAAAACATATAATAAAATTATATTAATCTAATAACACTTAAATTATAATAATAATATAATAATAAAATAATTAAAACACTTAAAAAACTAATTAAAACACTTCAAAAATGGTAGTGGTATTGAATATTTCTTCAAGAACTTTAATAAAAATGTCCTAATACAATAATCTGGCCATTTTAATTTAGTAATTAAAAGTAGATTAAATAACAGAAATATATTAAATGAATACTATATATAGAGATTGAAGCTAGAACAGAATTTCAAAAGTGGAAAATTGTAGGGGAAAAAGGGCTGCTCTCAAACTCGCATGTAGTATGATTTCGAAATTAGAAAACTAGGAAAATAATAAAAACGCTATGCTAAGACATTTTCTAACTGGTACTGAAAAATAAACATAAATAGGTTATTATAAACATAATAAACTACATAATTTATTGAGTACCTTCAGATATGCTATAACTTTTGAGAGAAACATTTTAACTGTATAAATGGTATAATGGTGACGCATCTTATGTAAGTTGGCTACTGTTCGAAAAGACAAAATTCTTCATAACAATGTCAAGGCATAAAGGAGCATCCAAAAAACTTCAGATCAGTTCCTCACTTAAAACTGGTCGTCAGCACCCTTATGCCTATCTCGCATTATTCATAAAGGTTTGCACTATCCAAGCACAATTTTCATTGCAGTTGCTGCTATTTTTTGATCAATTAATAAAAAAGGGAATGAAATAAATCATTGTCACTTTTATGAACATCACTGAACTGCTATAAATCTGCCTGCACCTTTATGAAAAAGAGTTTACAGCCCTTCACCATTATGAAGAACGCTGGACTGGCATGCAAAGTTTTCGTCAATTCATGGCACATATATATGCCACGAAAATTCATAAGAATATATATATATATATTCTTATGAATTTTCTACACTGTAACATGAAAAGTCAGAACAGAATGGAGCTCTACTAGAAAAATAAGGTTACAGGAGCAAGTCTTATTAAACATTGAAGTAAATGGCTATCTCACTAAATTGGTGAGAAATTGCCAAAAGTCGCCAAACTTGGCAACCAGTTAGCAACATTTGGGTCCAGTATCTGTATAACTGTAATTGGTCCTGTTAAGTGAAAAACTAATTGATCTGCATATGTAATTGTAACCGTATATGCTTTCCAGAAATGGACAGTACTGGAAATTTCTCTCATCGGATGGGGAAAAACTATATAAAACAAGAGAGACCTCAGTTTTTGAGGTCACAGTTGAATTCTGAGTATTGATGTCTCCACATGAGTTTTCATATTTGCCAACCTATGACACTCAAAAATCAGGAGATTTTTCACAATAATAAAAAGACTTTTTAAATGATAAAAATATAGTTTTTAATAATGAATTAACTTTAAATAGTAACTAATTCTTAAATGCAAGCAAAACAAAAATACCTTACACATAAAAAACATTTTTATTACTTGCATCGTTTATGAAAAAAAAAAAAGACACTTTAATCAATGTCAGATTTTGCTTTCTTTAAGAAAGAAACTTCATAATTTTGTTCACAGTAATTGCCACGTAGGCCTGCTTTCGCTAATTAAAATTTTTTCTAATGTGTCATCACTAGTATTAGATCTAAATTTAGTCCTCGTTTTCTCAACAAAACTGAGAATCCTCTCACACTCTGCATTACTATGGGGAACTGTCAAGATGGCCAACACAATTCTAGACAGTTTACTATATTTTAACATTAAATCAGCACCTTTCAATTTTCCAATTAAACTCTACTGGGTGTCAACCTTAGCTGATTTTATAACTTCATCCAAGTTTTCTAATTGTAAACTGCTGTTATGCAGCTGTTGGAACTGTTTCAATTTTTCCTTCCTCTTAGAACTCCTTTCAAAATAATAATAAATATCAACAATGTGTTCATCCATATTTATTGGTAAAGAAGCTGCCCCTTTTTCAGCTGCTAAATTTAAGAGGTGACAGGTGCACCTCATAATCTGAAAATCTGAATTTTCCTTTCTTAAGATGCCTGCAACACCAGTCTTCCAAGCCTACCAATACTGGTGCATTATCGGCACCAAGTGCTAAGCAATTATCCAGAGGGCCTGGATGTCTTTTGTTTAGTTTTAATAATTAGTTAAAGTTTTAATAATTAGCTGTGCTATATTAAAGCCTATCAAATGTCCTTCTAAAGTGGGAACATAAAGTAAACTGCACTCAATTTCTGAAGACTCAGTGAAAAAAGAAACTCAGTGGATCAAAAAAAGAAACAACAATTGGATATAGTTTTGAATCTGTGTTATTGCTTCCATCCGTAGAGAGGCAGAATGGAGCTGTTTTAATGCAATCAATAACTGAAGATTTATTTTTCAAACCCATTTCTTTAACGATTGCACCTGTTTTGATTCTTGCACCTTGAGTATTTCTTAGCGATTTGGCTATCGGGAAACATTTTTCTAAATATAGCTGCAGCATGATCCGATGCATTCAGTGGCAGGTTGTGCTCCAGTAAAAAGGCAGAGAACAGACATTCTGCATTAATAACTTTTTGGTCCTTTGTTTCCGAAGAAAAACTTAATTTTTTCGTTTTTTTAAAAACAACTCATGTTATCCTTGTGTTTTTGTGTACACACATGTTTGAGAATATCCGCCCTTCAACCATGCGAAATCGAAAAATCGCAACGACAGGCGGTACACATCGCAAATTTATTACATTTCCTTGAGGAAATAATGGAAGGAAAGTCAACTGTGTACGATTTTTGAAACGTACACGAGTTTTTCACCTTTCTCGCAGACGTAACAAAAGATGATAATTTCTAAAACTATTTCCCTAAGGCACGTGTACTCACACAACTCAGGACAAAATAAACAAAATAACTAAAGAACGTCCAAATAACAACTTGCTTTGTCCTCATTGGCTAATATATGCCAGCTGACATGCAGTGGAGCTCGAAGTCCATTGGAGAACTGGAGAACGACGTTTCTGGATATGTATAATGCTCTCACTCACAAAGCAGAAGCTATCTCATTCGCAAAGTTTTGTTTTAGATATAATGTAGAGAAAATTCAATTGCTTTCAGACATCCAAAAGCACTTTTTCTTTATTCATATAACAAAGTATTAAGCCAAGTTGCATAAAAATCGTGAGAAATTTTAAGAATAAAAAAAGTCGAGAGAAATATATTGTAAATCGGGTTGGCGGGAGAGAGGTCGAAAATCGGGAGTCTCCCGCCTAAATTGGGAGAGTTCGCAACTCTGAGTTTTGCTGTTTAGATGCACTTTGCATTGTGTTTAACATTCTGAGAAGTTTGACGTGGTAATTACTCATTGTGCTCTGTCATACTTAGAATAGATGTACAAGTATATTTGTGGGAAGTTCCAGAACTGTAAAGTGTTTCTTTTGGGATGACAAATTTTATGAAGTTATCATATCTTCTGTGCGAGTTCAGCCCATTGTGAAACCATATGCACGCAACAATATTTCCCTTTTTATTTATTTATTTTTTGATTTGGAATGAATACAGATTATAAATTTAATAAAAACATCTTGCACTAAATTTTCAATATTTTATAAAATATACAATTTTTCATATGTTTTACCAAATAGTTTAAACATCCACCTGACTTTCTTTTGGCTATCAATGTACATATTGATTTCAAATTTAAAAAAAGAGACATTTTTACTGTTAGTAATGAAATGTTTAACCCCCCCCCCATTTAATACTTTCTTTTTTCTAGTACTTCCAAAATTTTTTAGCATCATGACCTGTGTGTTCTCTAGAAAAAAATAAAGTTCCTTTCTAGATGCTCTTTAGAAAAAGTCATTCTCTTTGAAGGAGAAAGAAGGAAGCTAGAAGAAAATAATGCTGTAACAGATTAATAATCAATTAAATTAATCCATAAGTTAAATAAATCTACATAACTGTAAGGCAATCCAAAATATGTTCAAATAATATTTCACTCCTCAACAAGAATAATTTCATGACCCAACCCATGTTTTGGGAATCACTAATTTACTCAGTGTTTAAAATCTGTATTTCCAGAAAGCAGGGCCACCTATTTCTGTAAAATAATGTAGAAGTGCACCTTTATAAAAAAGGGCATGTTGGCATAAGGATGCTGATAATCGATTTCAAGCAGGAAACTGAACTTTAGTTTGTGCATACTCCCTCAGCATATCAGCCTGCCTCAGCCATATCACAAAAATTTCTGTCTTTTCAAACAGCAGCCAACTTGCATAAGGATGTAGCTTTGTAATGCCTATAGCCCATTACGAATCAGTCCCCACTTTCAGAACTCAGGTTCTTATTTTCACCATTGCACCAGAGCACATTATTTTCAGTGCCACTTAAATCATTACCAATTAAGCCTTTTAATTTTACATATGTATATAATTTCATCACAGATGTCTTTCTAAGACCGCAAAACTCACTCAGCTATTGTAGAAGATGGTGCTCATTTTATTTTACCAATTGATATCATTAGATGATCTTCAATATAGTCAGGAGTGTTAATATTTTTCAGGATAAAGAATTCAATAACAGATACCACAGTGTGTTGGTTTTACTGGGAATGCTAGTGTGTTTGGAGTGAGTGTTATTATAGCTAAGGCTTCGATGGCTAAAAGCGGTGGTAATGGTGTGATATGATGAGAAATGGAGCGCTTAATTAAAATTAGCAGTCCTCCTTGTGCATTTCCTCTGGGAGCATATCTTCCTTCAGTAGGTCAATCCCATCTGTGCATGATATAATTGCAGGTTTTGAATGAATTTTGAGGACCAAGCATGTGTTCCTGCATGAGTAAGATGTCAGGACAGAATTTGTGTATGAACTCCTGGAGCTCGTAGGCTTTAGGGAGCAATCTATTTGCATTCCATGCAATGCATGTTAATGATTGGCTGAGATTACTCTGATACATGATTTGAGATTTCACTTATAATTTCCATGACTCTGAAACGAGTACCTGTACTAGCACCAAATGCAAAGGTTCTTTTA